CCTTCCCTTCCCTTCCCTTCCCTTCCCTTCCCTCCTGCCCAGCTCTGGCTCCATGGAATTCCCAAACTGGAGCCCCCAGTCACAAGTGTCAGCACTCCCTGGGATGATTCGTGGAAAAATCCCAAACCTCGACACTGACTCTCAACTGCAGCAGCCTGGGGAGGGCCCAGGATCATCAGGGCAGGGTTTAATTAACCCAGGGGGCTCTAATTAACTCTGCACAAACAGGCAGAGTGGACAGAAATCAAGAGTGGGAATGGACAGAAATCCCAGAACTGGAATGGACAGAAATCCCAGAACTGGGAATGGACAGAAATCCCAGAACTGGGAATGGACAGAAATCACAGAGTGGGAATGGACAGAAATCCCAGAACTGGGAATGGACAGAAATCACAAAACTGGGAATGGACAGAAATCACAAAATTGGAATGGACAGAAATCCCAGAACTGGAATGGACAGAAATCCCAGAACTGGGAATGGACAGAAATCACAAAACTGGGAATGGACAGAAATCCCAGAACTGGAATGAACAGCAATCACAGGGATCCTGGAGTCCAGCTGCTGTCCATGCACAAATCCCCAACAATCCCACCCCAAACTCTGAGCCAAGCAGAGTTTATAGCTGAATCCAGCCCTAAATGGTGAAATGAAGGCAGCATTAAAAATGTAAAAAAAAAAAACTGCATAAGAAAATGGAAAAAAAACCCATAAGAGCTTAACAGCTGATGTAAATTATACATGAAGAGTTTTGAAGAGCTCCATGTGATGAGAGGAGCTAAAACCTGGCGGGGAGAAATCGTGTCTGGCAGGGCTAAAACCACTGAAAACGAGAGCTGGAAAGAAACACCAACACCAGGAAGCAAAGGAGCCAGGGGGCAGGGCCAGGCTGGGGTGAAATCCCCAGCAGGGCAGGAGGGGGATCCTGTGTCTGCCCCAGCCCTTCCCCTGGAGTCTGCACACAGGGAAGCTCTGACACCAATAATGAGAAAAGGTGCCAAAAGTATCTACAAGAAATGATATTTTTAGCTCAGCAGGCTGGGGAACTTGCAGCTTAAAATAATTACCTGAGTGAGGAGGTACCTGGGGCTGGGCAGGGGATTTGTGGTGGATCCTGGAATGCCCAGGACTGGGGGTGGATGCTCAAATGGGGAGGGGAGAGAACTGAAAGTTGAGAAATTTATTGGGGTGACCTAAATGGGACCTGAAGGGGCTAAAAGGAACATGGAGAGGGACTGGGGACAAGGCCTGGAGGGACAG